ATTTTGGGCTTCCACTCATTCATTGTTGCACTATTCTCTCTACCCTCCTCCCAGTTTGTTCTTGTCCAAATGCCACAGTGCTTGTCAAAGCCAGGAACTTCTCTTTTGCTCACCTGTGCACAGGGTCACCCAGCAGCTCACACCACGAGACTCCAGCCCTCGGCTCCCACACCTGTTCACTCCCCACACCTGCCCATCTCAGAAGCTGGAAGGAAGACACCTTGGACCTTGTCCTCGGCCAGGGAGGGGCCATCTCCCCTTGAACCAGTGCCCTGGGGAGCCCGCCCTTCTTCTAGGAGTCCAGCTTCCTTGTGAGCCCTCTCCAGGAACTTTCTGGAAGGTTATGCACCTGCTCTCACCCCTCTACAGTTCCTGGCACCTCCAGGGTAAAGTTCTCATGCCTGGTTCCTCAAGGCCTCTGCTGGCCTCCGTCCAAGCCCCAAGCTGCAAGTGCCCCACCCAAGTCCTGACCTTCTCGGACCCTCATCCTACCGTCCCCACCCCCACCCCCGGCCTCCTTTACAGCACACATAGGACACCTATCCTGGGAAGGCCCCTAGATTGTGCTTTCTCTGGGAGTGTCATTTCCTGCCACCCACTGACCAGGTCTGAGGGGTAGAGTCTCTCCTTTTCACAGCTACGAAGCATCATCGACAGGGTGAGTATCCTGTCCCTGGCCTCATCAGAGCCGCTATTCACACCTGCCACCTGGACAGCGTCCACTCTTAGAAAAAACCCATTGCCATCGATTCAGAACCCACCCACAGCTGACCCTCCAGGGGCTCAGAGGCTGTAAATCACAGAGGAAGGTGCTGCCCATCTATCTCTCCCTTGGAGCCGCTGGTGGTTCAAACCCCAGAGAAGCTCAGCTCCTGGGCTATCAGCTCAGCTTGCAGTGGTCAGGCCCTAGAGCTTCCCCTCAGAAGCAAACGTACGTGTCCTTCCAGGGCCAGGTGGCTCATAATGCGGCAACCTGGAAAACAGGCAATTGGGGGCTTGGGGGCGGGCTGGGGCATTTTGGAGGTGAGCCGCTTTGTGGAACACTGTGACGGGTGGGAGCAGCCATGGGTCCGCTTTCGTGCAAAGTGCAGCCAGAACCAAGCCTGCCTGGCCTGGGTTCTCCTGAGCCCTGGGGACTGTCCAGAGGCTCTCTCAGTTTCTAGGAGAAGATTGCCTGCTTCCTATGCAGCACCTCAGCCAACTGCCCCACACTCTCCATGGACTGAGCCTTCGCGCACTGGACCATGGGCCCCAGTTAGTTCCAGCCCAAGGCAACCCTGTTCCCGAAGCTGGGGCCCTTCACTGAGCAGACTGTCCACCTTCCTCCCTCAGACCCACTGGTGGATTTGAACCACTGACCACTCAGCTGGCACTGACATAGAGCGACACATTTGTCCACTGCGGCAGATATTCAGGGAAGTGGAAGTAACTGGGACATGGCGGGGTGGGGTGGAGATTAAAGTGCCTGATGCTAATTGATAGGAGCCCCCCAGCCTCTCACGGGGGAGGAACGGGGGCATTCTTCTGCCAGAGTGCCTAGGCACCACCCTGCCCTCCCCCCACAGTTGTGGGGCGCTTGCTAAGCATCTCCTGTCCGCTCCAGTCACCCGAGGAAGAAGTCTGGAGACCAGGCGTCTGTGCCGGACCTGCGGCCCCCCAGCATTAAAGGGTTACGCTTGACGTGGGGAACCAGCCCTGCTGTGGGAACAGCCCCCGTGGGGACGTGCTGACTCTGACCTGTGGGGAGATCATGTGTACCCCAGCTTCACCCCAGGGAGGGAGCTAGGCTGGGAAACAAGACAGCACGACCATGGTCCCAGCTGGATGGGCCTGCCTGGGCTGAGCCACTGTCCCCAGAGCAAAAGGCCCATGCAGACAGGCAGGAGGACAGCTGTGCTACCCACGGGGGGCAGAAGGCGACAGACTGAGGCGCTTTCTGACTCCAGGGCCCTCCTCTCCCACCCTCACCTCAGCTGCTCTGTCCCTGCAGCCTGGCCTGGCCTGGCCTGGCCCCACAGCCCGGGCCCAGCCTGTACACAGCAGGCGCTCAATAAAGACCAGCAATGCTTCTACGATACAGGTGCTAGGGGGTATGGGTGGGGGCGGGCTCATTTGAGACCTGCGGTGCTCTGACTGTCCTCTCTACCCCAGATGTCACTGGCCAGTGTGCCCAGAGGCTGGGTGGTCCTGCGCCTCAGGCAGGACAGATGGGCGGGGTGAGGACAAGGTGACCTCACCAGCCCGAGCTCCCTCTCAGGCTGGGTCAGCGGATCAGGGCGGGGCTGGATGTGTCCCCACTTCCCCCTGCTGCTGAGTCACAGAGGGGTGGGGTTTCCCATCAGTGGAATCAGCAGCCCCATCGTCTGCAGCCCTGGGGCCCGCACTGCTGCCCACGTCCACACTCAGGGGTCAGCTGCTGCCCCTGGTATAAAGTTGGTGCTGGTGCTGGTGTTGTGTGCCATCCCACAGAGCAGCTGGTGGATTTGAACCGCGTGCCTTCGGCGCTGCAGCACAGCTTCTTACCCTAGATATGTGATGCAGTTTTAGCTCTGGGCCCACTATCAGGTGAGCCTGGTCTGATGTCTCCCCTGGAGAGCCTTTCTCTCAGAGGTCACAAAGGACAACAGATCCCGCTCAGAGCCCGGGGAGGAGAGGACACCCCCAATGGGGGGCAGCCCCCAGGAAGTTGGGGGCCCAAGTGGAGGAAGCACCACATGTGGTCGTCTGACCCCTCCTCACAGTGGGGAAGCGTCATGCCGAGCCCACGCAGGGTGACACAGCAACAGGTCCTGAAGCCCCAGCACTACCCTGCCTCCTCTTCCAGGAAGTCCCCCTACACTGCCCCTACCAGCTCCACCTGCACCGGCATCCACACAAGGCTGCAGCTGGGGTTAGGGCTCCCAGCACCTGAATCTGCTTCCTGTCACCACAGCAGGGCTTCCCTGGGGGCAAAGGCTCCCACAGGGCAGAGGCTGAGCTGGAGTAGCCCTCTAGCTCCTACCTGAGGCCAGACGCTGAGTCCTGGCAGAGAGACCTGTACTGACCCCACAGCTGGCCGAGCCTCTGACTGCCTCTGAACCTGTCTCCCCAGTGCAGGCTGAACCTCGACTCCCAATTCTGAAACTCAGGATAAACCCTTGTCCCCAAGCCCCAAGCCCCAACCCCA